AATTTCTGATTTTGTTAAAAGATTTATCTCGTGAATGACCATGCGATTTGTCAGACCGAGACTTCGACCTTGAACGTTGAGAACGATGATAATTGGAATTTTCAGACTTGTCAATTCGAGTTCTAATCTCCGCAATCTCTGCTGTGATTTGATCCAAATTTGACTCTAATTTATTGCTAGAGGTTTGAATAGACGCGACAGAAATGGGCTAATCATTTACAGAAGACGTTGCATCATTGATTCTATCAGCTGTTAAAGCTAATTTATCTAAGGTTTCAAAAGTCACGGAAGCCAAGATTGCACGATGCTGTGCAGGGAGCTGATCAAGAAAAATTGTCTTTAAAATGTCGTCCGAACATTTACCGCCGCTTAAGTTGCGAATTCTAGATAAAATATGAGATGGTTTTCCAGAACTTAACACTTCGCCTTTCAGCAACTGACGAAGCTGTGCTTCAGATGAAGCTGAGTGTGTTGATATGAGTCTAGTTTTGACACGTGAATAAATATCGTCGGGGACCGGATCGATTGTTTATAATAAATCCGCAATAGATAACGCGCCAATTGAGAGATAACTATGTCCGCGCGAGTCTTCTCAGAACGAATTCTTTTGCTACGAAACAGCGCCTCTATAATATTAAACCAAATGGTCGGGTTATTTTGATAAAATCTGGGAATTTTGATGCGATGTTGATATGCATCAATGTGTGCATTTTCAATTTCGAGATGACCTTCTAAATTTGCTTCAGCAATTGTAGCAGCATTGGCCGCCTGTGCAGCCTCCAATTGTTGAGTCAGTTCCTGAATCTTATCCTGAAGTTCCTCCATGTTGATCATAATACGGAAAATGAATAAAAAATAGAAAAACAAAAACACCAAGTTGAGCAAGACTAAAAGAAATTTCAATTAAATAAAAAATAAAATAAATCATAAAATTAGATAATTGCCCACTCTGATCCACATTTCCTAAAAAAAGAAAAAATTCATTTAAAAAAATGAAGGATTATTTTTATAAAAATATGCATAAAATATATGATCAAGCTTATGTACCGCAATGTAACACCAAAACAATATCAATAGTACAAAATTAAAAAAAAATTACCTTAAGTCAGATTAATAAAATAAAATTATATTTTACAATACAAAAGACGAAACAAAAATAAAATTTTCTTGTCGAAATCTACAACTATTTAAATATTCAAAACAATTCAAAATGCTAAACTTTTTAATATCGAGATAAAGAATTAAAGACAAAATTCTGAATCACACATATCCACATATACACGCGCGGAAAATAAAGATTTGTTTACAATCGTTGATTGATTAAATATGACGTTTCAATTCAAAAATCATGAAAAATACTAAATACATTTCTATAAATAAACAAAATACAATATAAAGATGAAACAATACAAATTCAATGATTAAAAGAATTACAATGAATTTTATTTGACGAAAAAACATTTTGAAATGAAAATTATTTAAAAAAAAAAGAAAAAAAAGAAATAGTTTATTTTGATTAAAAATTTTGTTTGAAAGGCAAAAGAAAAATAATAATTATGGTAATTATAATAATACAAATTGTTTTCTTTTAAAGTTTAGGTAAAAAAATAAATAAAAACTTGATGCATTAGGATTACAATAGCAAAAAGAAAAAATGAGTTGTAGATTTTGTTGTTGATTACACACCTTGTCAAACAGTTGTAGTGATGAAATGTAGAAGTTAACTTAAGGCTTTATCCACAATCTTTAAACCTCATATGCATGTAATAATGTCTGACGTAGAAGCTAGGTGTTGACAGGAGGGGATATTCCAAGCAGAATAGTCCAGGCGTAGAGTATCCAAAATGAGAAATGCGTCAGAGATAAAAAATGATGTTCATCATAAAAAACTTTTTGGCGGCAAAACTCCAAAATTGTATTCCCATCAACAAGGAAGCCTTCCTGGGAAAATGGTCAATGATGGTGGTGCTCCAAATAGCCAAAAATAATAGTATAAATCCTGAATATACTGGAAAGTTCGACAGCAACTCGTTCACCGAGTATATTCTTGGCGGGAAAAGGACGTGACGTCAGATCCGCATCAAAGAAAAAAAATGTCGCTCTTAAGAACAGGAATTGTACTCCAAAAATGGAAATCCAGATTGTTGAAATGATGAACAGTGAAAATAATTTATATTCACAGGGAAAATATAAAAACATTCAATTATGTTTTATATTTGATCGAGATATATGTTTTAAAACAAAGTTTGAATTATAAAACTTTTGTATGGAGACACGTGCTTCACTATTTAATGTGACTTTAACAATAATTTCAAGACTTGAAATATATATCAGTCTGAAAATATGCGAAAAAACGCAACGAAAAATCACTGGTGAACGAAAAAGCCGAAAAGTATTTTTGGCATAAAATTACGATGGTAAAAATTTCCATCGATTTGGAAAAAAATGTGTTCCTTGAAGAAGGGGTCACCAATGTGGAGATTTGTTTGAATTGAAAATATATATTATGGTTCTCCAAACCATAGGATTCACTAATTATAGTAATAAAATAATTGTTCACCAAATTTAGTTAATAACTTATTTATTTATCATAAATTAAATTATATCGATAACACGTGTATAAATCTCTCGATCTTAACGCACACTGAACTATCTTTCAATCTCCTTAGCAACGGTTGCTATCACCGATCAGCCCCTATACGAAGTGGGGAGAGAAGAATATTAAGCATTCCCCACATTGAATTGAGCGGTGGCGGCCGGTACTAAAACTCGGTCGGTAAAGTAGAATGCTCCTTCTAACCCACCTGAAAGTGATCTATTAAGAAATCTACCTTACCGACCGTCGGTAACTGGGTCAGAACCCGTGTAGCTCTACTACTTCGAAGAAAATCAGAAAAAGTTTTTGGAAAAGGGATTTGGCTATGGCTTAAGGGGGGTGCCTACTTTATCGGGTCAAAAAAATCGATTTTTTAAAAGTTGTCTTAACTGAAAGTACAACTATAAGAGAATATGCTCTTAAAATATTACGTCAAAATACAATAGTATATTAAGCAACAAGGGTATAAAGGCAGCCATTTGTTTACGGTAATTTTTGTGACACGAGTGGAGGTCGAGAGCGCCGTAGGCGCCCCGAGACCGGAACGAGTGACACAAAAATCATCGTAAACAAATTGGCTGCCTTTATTCCCGTGTTACTTACGATATTTTTTATTCCTAATGCACAAAAGTGTCGATTTCAGATAGCAGACGACAGGGAGTAAAAGTCATTCACTTGTTCGACTTATATGAAAATGGCGGCTGTTTTCTCCCATAGGCAAAAATAACGCATGGGATCAGCTGTTTGCCTCATGTTTGCCTCTTGGGAGAAAATGGACGCCATTTTCATATAGTCGAACAAATGTGTGACTTTACTTCCTGTCGTCAGCTATCTAAAAGCGCCATTTTTGTGCATGTGGGAGAAAAAGTATTTTTCGAGTTACAGCTTGTAGAACGCAATAAAGCGCGTGGCCTGGCGCGCGATTCCACTCGCGGTCTCTAATACTTTTCATAATTTGTCGCGCTTATCTACTATTAAACCTACCATTAAAATTACCATTTATCAGTAAAATGTCTTCTTATCCAAGAGCTACACATAAAAAAATAGTCGTTCATCGAGGCCGCAAAACAGCATTTATATGTTTTTCAATCTTTAAACGCGTTTTTCTCAAAACACTGTTTTTGTAGTTTGCGTACACGATAGACAAAAATCTAATCAACCGATTAAGGTCTATTTGGGCTTGTTTTGAAAATAAAGAGTGTCTCTTCTGTATGAATTAAATTTGTTTTTGATAGAATTAAATTTAATGCTTTCTTTTAAAGAAAAAATGAGATTTTTTTTGGCAAAAATTACATTTTTTTTAAAGTCATGTAAAAATTTCAGTTTTTACTTTCTACTGAAATCTTTTAATTCATACAGAAGGCAATAATGTATATTTAAAGAAAAAATTGTTTGTTTTGTTTTAGATAAGAATTGTGGACCCTAGGTTGTACGCAATGGGAAAATTTCAGCAGCGAGGCGTTATATATATGGCGTTTATTTTATTATTAAATTCTATTTTCATTTAATGAAAAAATTATATTTCAAAGGTTTAAATATATCAAAAAATATACACTAAATCTCGCATCGATTTATTTAAATGTGTTTGAGAAAAAAATTCCTGAAATGTACGCAGTTTTTTACCTTCTAAAGTAGGCGCCCCCCTTAAATTGTATAAAGAATTTTAAAATGAAAGACATAATGAGCAGTAGATTAGCTGCAAAGATTTCGATCTATATTGCGATCAACATGTAAACCATCAACACATTTTATTACAAGGAGCTTTAAATACATTATGTACAGTTGACGAATACACAATGCAAAAAGGCCATTTTACAAAAGACCGTAAAGCAATTTATACACAATTTAGCTTCCGTGGCGTTACTGTCTGTCGAAAATTTTTCATATTTGTATTTGGTTCTGGAATGTTAAGAATTGCTTAACTAAGGAATGTTAAGAATTATTTTCTGGCAAATGGTGTGGAACAATGGAGTCACCAGAACACCAACTTCAGTTCAAAATGCTCTTTAGTTAAATGTCGACTTAAAGTAGTGACTTTTATAAAAAAAATCTGCTTAAAATTCACTGATTTTACCAGTTCTATTGCCCAATTATAGGCTAAATACCCCAAATACAGATCTTAATATTTTACCCTGCAGCATGAATGAATCGTACATCTACGATTTATACAAAAAAGCTGCCGAGAAAACAGATGTTGAAATTGTAGGAAAAACAATTTGGTACGATCTTTGAAATGAATTTTGTGCCAAAATAGTGATTCAAAAACTAAGGACAAATTTATGCAACGTTTGCCAAAAACAAACGATATCGTTAAGAAAATGCAGGGATTAAGCGAAGAAGAAAAGAGAAAAAAGTAAAATAAGCCACTTCAACCATGTCTGTTTTGGTATTCGTCTTGATCAACATGAGCCACGTTCCTACTGTCGAATACATTATTCTTTTGACTTTGGCCAGCAAATCAATTTGCCTTATAGTTCACAGCAAGTTGGAGCATTGTATTTTCTAGCTGGCTATAAAGTAGCTTTTTTGGTATAGCAACAGAACCGTTAAAACAATTCGTTTTATATGTAATACCCGAATCATGCAACACGGGAAAAGAAAGCAATGTAGTGATTTCTTTGCTTCATCACTTTTTTAAAAATTATGGAATTGGTGAAACTGATGTTATATGCCATGATGATAATTGTTGCGGTCAAAATAAAAATAATTATTTGCTTCAATATGCTGCATGGCGAATAGCAAATGGTCTTGACAATTCGTTTCAACTTTCTTTCCTACCAGTTGGACACACGAAATTTGCTCCAGATTTGTACTTCGGCCTGTACAAAAAAAGTTTTCGAAATTCTGATTCAAGTAATTCGGATAATATTGTATCAGTTGCTGCCAAGGCTTGTCAAGTCAGTGACACAATAACTGCAGTATCGGTTGGAATGGAAACAGGTGAAGTAAAAATTTCCTTTTACGATTGGAGTGGTTTTTTTTAAACAATTCTCTCCAACACCTGTAAAACAGCTGCTCTTATATAATCACTTTCTTACTGATAAAGAAAATCTTGTCGAGATAAGTTATAAATTAGAATCCTGAATTCGGATTTGTAAAACTTTTTAAAGCCGAAGACATTGAAAATTTACAAAAATTTTGGTTGAGAGAAAAAAATATTTATTCGAAAAATCCGACCGTCTTTTGCCAAATGCCTCAAATTTTTTTTTAAATATGGGGGAGAAGAATTTGAAACCTATTGCTTTTTCATTATAAAGGTGTAAGACCTTCTTGTCAATAAATTTTTATAAAACTAGGTACTAAGGAGTTTTTCGGGTCGCTGATTACTATTCCGGTGTTAGTTTTTAAAAATTCAAAATAGCGGATCCAATATGGCAGACACGATTTTGAAAAATTCATTGGATTTGCTTAAAATTCATTACTCGGGGGTTTTCGTGGTCGCTGATTACGAATCTGACATTAGTTTTTTTAAAATTCAACATGGCGGATCCAAAATGGCGGTCACGGTTTTGAAAAATTCATTGGATACGCTTAAAATTTGTTACTCGGAGTGTTTTTGGGGTCGCTGATTACGACTCCGGTGTTATTTTTTTAAAATTCAAAATGGCGGATCCAATATGGCGGTCATGATTTTGAAAAATTTATTGGATTCGCTTAAAATTTGTTACTCGAGGGTTTCTGTGGTCGCTGATTACGAATCTGTTATTAGTTTTTCAAAATTTAAAATGGCAGATCTAATATAGCAACTAATTTTTAAAAATTCATTAGATTGACCTGAAAATTGTTAATCTGGAATTTTTTGTGTCGCTGATTGCTAATCCGATGTTAGGTTTTTAAAATTGAACAAAGAGAATCCAATATGGCAGACGATTATTAAAAATGATGTATTTTGAAAATCTGACTTCAGAATCCCCCGAGTAAGAATTTTGGCGAATATACTTTAAGATGTTTTCTTGTTTGGGCCAAGACGTGTATACACGTCATCCACAGTCAAGGGGTTAAAGATAAAAAACCAATAAGTTTTAAATCCTCCCCCTCTATTTTAAAAATATGGAAATTTGACAAAATGTTCCCTTTTATAAAAAGGACGTTTTTTAATTAATGAACCATATTTTACCAAGGTTAATGATTAGCTACAATTTTATTGTGTCTTTTGAAGAAGACAAAAGAATAGTATATTAAGCAACAAGAGGAGAAAGGCAGCCATTTCTTTACGGTGATTTTTGTGACACGAGTGGAGGTCGAGGGCGCCGTAGGCGCCCCGAGACCGGAACGAGTGTCACAAAAATCATCGTAAAGAAATTGGCTGCCTTTATTCTCGTGTTACTTACGATATTTTTTATTCCCAATGCACAAAAGCGGCGATTTCAGTTAGCAGACGACAGGGAGTAAAAGTCATTCACTTGTTCGATTTGTATGAAAATGGCGGCCGTCTTCTCCCTTGGGCAAGAAAAATGCATGTGAACAGCTAATTTTCTTGCCCTTGGGAGAACACGGCCGCCATCTTCATACGATCGAAGAAATGAATGACTTTCCTCCCTGTCGACTGCTATCAAAAAGCGCCGTTTTTGTGCATGTGGGATAAAAAATATATTGCAAGAAAATATAGGAAATAACAGAAATTTCCAATTTTTGCCAAGGACCGACAAAATTCGCCCTTTTCTTTTTTTATAAAACTAATAAAATCAAACACTTTTTCCATGTGGACGTCCACATATATATGAAGCAAAATCCTGAACTGCCCCAAAAATAAAAAAAAGTTCTTGGATTTCGTTTATACTTTGAAAATATGTTACCCTAGTAGGTACAAGTTACTACACCAATTTACAGGTCCAACCTCCCACCCCTATCAAAAGGGTGGGGGGTTGAAATTTCAACTGAAACTCGAGCATGCGATCTTTAAACATTTGTAGTTTCTACTTAAATAATTCGATTAAAAAAAGTAAGTAGTGTTTTAGAAAGGTTTTTTTGTGTACTTTTAAAATATTTTATTTATTTAATAAAAAAAATTTTTTTGCAAAAATTTTTAAAAATAAATAGTTTTTTGCAATTTTGTGCAAGTTTGACAGTTTTTATTTTCTTTTTAATAATCGCAAATGAAAGCTTAGGATTTCCCCAAAAAGAAGATATAAGTCTGAAAATGGGCCGAAAAAATTTGTCAAAGATAGTAAAATTTGTCCCTCCGCTCGTGCACTCCAGCGCGATGAACAGTGGGATTTTTTTCAACTTACTATTGAAAATTGTCCAGAAACTACAAATTTTATCTTATGTTGATGTTCTTGATTTAAAATTACTAAGATATCCATCAAAGTCGATTTTTGAATTTTTAATTGTTTATTTTTTTCTTGTTACTCAAAAATTTGACAAATTACAATATTTTTAGAAAAAATCATGTTTATTTTTTTATTTTTCCATTGAACATAATCAAAATCAATTTAAATTAGTGTAGTATGACCACCGGACAATTAATAAAGCATAATACAATTTATTTAAATTGTTGCAAACAATGTTAATTAACAAATAGATTACTTCGGACCTTCTTCATAAAAAATTGGTTTTTTGCAGACAAGTTCGAATTTATATCTAATTTAGTAAACAATTAATTTAAAGTTAAAAATTATCATTAATATTAACAATTATATAAACAATAATCAACTTCCTTTTGTATTTGTAAACATTTTCGTCATTTTTAAACTTTAAATATTTATATCATATGTACATTCTTTCAAAAACTTAAAAAATTTATTAGCTTAAACAATTACATTTGTTATAAACAAATTTTTTATTTTTAAACAAATAAGTAGCTTTCTTTATTAATTGAAATTTTTTCCTTTTTATATTTACTATCATAAAAAAGAACTCCTTAATGAAATAGGAATACATTAAATAATTCATATAATTTCAATAAAGATTATAAGTTAAGAAATATTTATATTTTTAATTATGTAAACCATTATTCAGTTAAAACAGTTTACATTTAAATGCATATAAATAAATATATTTTGTCTGTGGAAAAAGAACAAAGTTATATAGGACTATGTTATATAAGACCCTGAACAATTGTCCGGATGTATGTATGGATGTGTGTATGTGTGTGTGTGTGTGTGGATCCCGATTTTTGTGAACACGATAACTCGAAGAGGTTTTAACGAATGTGGCCAAAATTTACCAGATATATTTATCATAAAAATATCTCGAAATGGATTGACAGACTTTAAAAAATTCTCAGAAAAAAATTTTTTTTTACTTTTTTCTAAAAAAAATTTTTTTTCAAAATTTTTTTTTTAAGTTGGTTATTGAAGTTAATATATAATAAAATCTTTTTCTTTGCATCAAGACGAATCGATTGGTATATAAAAAGTATAAATTGTATGAGAATTTACAGAGTTAATCACAATTAAAGCTAAAAATTCGCAATTTTTATCAAAAAATCAGTTCTTTCCGCAAAATTATGTTGCCGTATAAGAAAATCTTACTGATTTATTTCTAAAATCTTATTCTTTAAACCAAGACGGATCGATTGGTATATATAAAGTATATATTGTATTTAAAATTATAGAATTAATTACAATCAAATTTAAAAAATTTACTTTTTTACTAAAAATTGTTTTTGTTTATTTAGATTTAGATTCTTCCTCCACGAGGAAGCAAATTTTTTCTGCTGATCGTAAAGAGGAAGCAAAATGTTCATGTAATGAACATCTGGACTTACAACTTGTTTATGATGGTAAATATAAAAAAGGAAAAAATTTTGTTTGATGAAAAAAGCTACTTATTTGTTTAAAAATGAAAAATTTGTTTTTAACAAATGTAATTGTTTAAGCTAATAAATTTTTTAAGTTTTTGAAAGAATGTACATATGATATAAATATTAAAAGTTTAAAAAATGACGAAAATGTTTACAAATACAAAAGGAAGTTGACTATTGTTTATATAATTGTTAATATTAATGATAATTTTTAACTTTAAAATAATTTTTCAGTAAATTAGACATAAATTCAAACTAGTCTGCAAAAAACCAACTTTTTTATGAAGAAGGTCCGAAGTAATCTATTTGTTAATTAACATTGTTTGCAACAATTTAAATAAATTGTATTATGCTTTATTAATTGTCCGGTGGTCATACTAGACAAACTTAAATTGATTTCGATCATGTGCAATGGAAAAATAAATAAATAAACATGATTTTTTCTAAAAATATTGTAATTTGTCAAATTTTTGTGTAACAAGAAAAAAATAAACAATTCAAAAATCGACTTTGATGGATCTCTTAGTAATTTTAAATCAAGAACATCAACATCCGATAAAATTTGTAGTTTCTAGACGGACAAATTTTACTTCTTACACTATATCTTTGTCAAATTTTTTCGGACCATTTTTAGACTTATATCTTCTTTTAGGGGAAATCCAAAGCTTTCATTTGAGATTATTAAAAAGAAAATAAAAACTGTTGAACTTGCACAAAATTGCAAAAAACTTTATTTAAAAAATTTTTTTTTATTAAATAAATAAAATATTTTATAAGTACACAAAAAAACCTTTCTAAAACACTACTTACTTTTTTTAATCGAATAATTTAAGTAGATACTACAAATGTTTAAAAATCGCATGTTCGAGTTTAAGTTGAAATTTCAACCCCCCACCCTTTTGATAGGGGTGGGGGGTTGGACCTGTAAATTGGTGTAGTAACTTGTACCTACTAGGGTAACATATTTCCAAAGTATAAAGGAAATCCAAGAACTTTTTTTTATTTTTGGGGCAGTTCAGGAATAATGCCTCATATGTGTCATTCCACGTCAAGTGATCCGGGTCAAAATTTACATAGAATATTTGTAAAATTTGAAATCGGAAAGGAAACCTGTAAAAAAATCCTGAAAATAAAAATAAAAGAAAAGATGAAAATAAAAGTGCAGTAACAGAGAAACTCTTGTTGGTAATTCGAGAA